TAACCAGTTTGCTATTTCCCACTTCTAATTCTTCCTGCTTGGTGGAAATGGGGATGGAACTCAGGGCTTTGCGTTTGCTAGAGAAGCGATCCACCACCTGATCATGCTCCCAACTATTTTCTTCTTCCTTTTTTTTCTTTTTTAAAAAAATACATAAAACATTTATATAGTTCCAATTAAAACTGTAAAAAGAGGAATGCTCCCAAAGCCTTTCCCCTCCTTCCAGTCCCTGGTGCCCTTTCTCTACGCACAAATCATTCCATCTCAGGCAGCCACTCCATCTCAGCAGCTTCGCTCTGCTGCCTCATTTTGAGAAAAAGAAGACCACACATATTCATGGGCCTTACACAAAAGCTCTCACACATGTATACTCTTGGAGCTTGAAAAGGGCACGCGGTAATCTCATCTGCAAGCCTATGTTTTTACTCTGCTTTTAGCAGGGTGAGAGAGAACACGTTAATAAAAATGTACCAGCAGAACCATTTATTAACAACAGACAGGTTCCTGTGGACAAGGGGTTTTCAGACGTCACAATAAGATGAGAACTGAACTCTCAGACTCCCTTGTGATCCTGGCAACCTAAATTACCCTCCCAGGGAGGGCAGAGTGCCAGGTGACAATAACCTTCATGTCGTGGGATCTAAATTCCTATTTACTTCTCAACACCAGCACAATTGTTTTTGTAGCTGCAAAAGTTCTCAAGGGCATATTGAAGCCCCGGAGCCTGGGGATTGGAGGGGGGAGCGGTGGGCTGCAGGGAGAAAAAGAGAAGTAATTAACAGACCAAATGTGAGTCCACATTCTTTTAAACCAACTCAACCTGTGGACACAGAGGTAGGCAAGAAAACAAAATGAGCGGTGAATGCTGATTTTGGTCAGGAGCTCTTTTCTTTAGGGAAGACTCCACTTGAAGAACTCTGTTAGCTAATATGCTTCTGTAGCGCACTGAAAATGACTCAGTCTCCAACCTGCGTCACATTCTCCCCAGAAACACCCTGGGGTTGATTGCACGTCTGTCTGTGGTGTCTTGATGCAGACCTTTTCAAAAGAATCACAACTCTATTACTGAGGATTCTGGCAGGTGAGTGGTGTGAGGAAGGGTGGGAAAAACCAGAAATGATTGTTGTGGTTTTTTTATCCCACTCCTCCCCCACCCCGTCAAGGCAATGAGAAGGAAGCGATATTTCTTTTTTCCTTGCTGTATCTGTAAGATTCTGCATTTGGAGCTGAGCTGGCTCACAAACAGGCATAGAAAGTAGCAAAATGGCCAGGCTCACACCTGTCATCCTAGCTGCTCAGGAGGCTGAGGTCTGAGGATGGCAGTTTGAAGCCAGCCTGAGCAGAAAAGTCCCCAAGAAACTCTCTTATCTAATTAACCACTCAAAAACAGGGAGTGGCACCGTGGCTCAAGGGGTAGAAGGCTAACCTTGAGCACAAAGAGGGTCAGGGACAGTGCCCAGGCCCTGAGTTCAGGTCCCACAACAGATCCCTCCCCCCCAAAAAAAAATAAAGTAGCAAAATGTATCTGCCTTATTTATAGTACAATGACGCTAAAGATGCTAGATTGGAAATAAGAGCACTTTTCTGTTCTCAGTGATTTGTAAGCAGCATTCTGACTGGGGTTATGGGTTCACTCCACCTTCGCAAATTCAGTGATACTTAAAACATGGCCTACGAGAACCATAGAGGCATTTCAAAGCCATTTTCTTCACACACTAGGAATACTGCATAAATATGCCCCACGACGTATTATTTGTAAAACAAGACTCATTGGTTACATCATAAGCACGGGGGGCACATGGCACCAAGTGGTGTCTGTGTCTTCTGGCTGGAGGTGGCTCTCCATTGAAGAAGGGAAGGGTGGCCATCTGCCGAGACCAGCTCTCTCCTTCTCTAGGGAGGAGGCTGGAAATCTGGGGAGAGGGGCGTCAGGGCCAGCAACCAGCTCAGGACTCACCAAGTTGGGGTCACTGCCCTGCTGGTAGAGCTGAGCCCCCTGTAGCTGGGGGCTGAGATGGCTCATGGTTGTGTGGGCACAAAAATGTTGTCTCTGCAAGGCCTGATGCAAGGGCTGGAGTTCTGTGTAAATCGAATTATTAGCATGAACCGAAGGTACTGTCATTGTTTAACTCATCCGACCTTTTAAATGGATAACCAACCTTGAGGCTTAATTGGATTTAAAAAAAATCAATTTCTAGCCATTGCATAGTGTTGAAATGTACTGCATTCTCGGGCGATTGTAAAATCAGTTTTGCTCAAGATGATTTTTTTATTATTTACAACTTTAAGATGACATTATCCATCTCGGTAAGCATTTTATGTACACATCTACCTTTTATAAACAACCACAAACTCATATGTATGCATACCGAGTCACATCACGAAAGAATCATTATTTTTTTCCGGTCAGCAGCGCTTTTCTTCACACCAATTACACACACACATACACACATGTGCACTCACACACGCGCACACACGTGCACACACACAACGGAACTAAGGATAATGATACGCTGCTGTTTGCAAATCTCTCTGTGCTGCAGCCTGGCCTCATCTTCATAATAAGAAAAAAAATCCTTGAGGAAGCTTCTTCCCAAATCACATCTTGACCATTAAATCTTTCTTGAAGAAGGTCATTTAATTTTATGGAAAGAAATGAACAATTAAAATGGCATAAGCAGAGCGAATGCTAGCCTGGAAATTAGAAAGCTGGTGATCCTAGTTCTAGCCTGAGTTAACTCAGTGTGTAACCTTGATAAACATAGGCTACCAGTCTCAGTTTCCCCATCTAGAAGAGGGGAGGCGCTGCTGGGGTGGGGGTGATCTCTGAACCCTGCAGTTGATGAAAATGGGAGTCTATTAGAGGCCCTGGGTCAGAAACAGCAAGTTAAAAAAGCACATTTGATTCCCGCAGCTCTTTCTCCGAGAAAAAGCAGTGAAGCACAGCAGAGCCCTTCGCCTCCACCGCATCTACGGGAGAGATCCTGATTCCTAATGGCGGAATTTGGACGATTAGCTAAAAGCAATTATAAAATTATAGTTGACAAACAGAAAATGCTAAACCCAGTGGTCTATTTTAGCCAAGCCTGATTTAAATGTGCATTGTGTTGAATGAAGCTTCATCTAAATGGTCCATTTTAGCCAGATTACAGAGAACTGTGTAATTATCCCAAGCATTCAGGACAGTCCAGAGAGCTAATTTGGACAATTGGACAAATGATTATTTTCTTTTGCCTCAATTGACCAGATAATTGTGCACAAGTCTCTGCCATTTGGCTCTGTGGAATGTCCCTTTGTGTGGTAAGGAAACTCAGGCAAAGACTGGTATGGTGACATCCATCTGAAGGTGTGGGGTTGGGGATGGAGTGGGTGGCTGGCATCAACTCTGAGCACCATATCAGAAACACTTGTACCGGAGCTGAGAATGTCTCTGTACGCCCACCCAAGGACCCCTGTCAGCTCACCCTGAGAGCTGTCAACTTGAAGGGTCTGTGTTCCCTCACGTTCAAAACAGAACTAAACAAAACACCAGGCCCAAGGTTAGAGGTGGCATGTGGGTGGCCAAGAGAATTTGAAGAAAACCTGGCATTCCTAAGAGTCAATAAACACAGATAAACAACTCGGGTGCACGCTTCTAACGAACATACCCAAGACCAGACAAATCAATCAGTCTGCATCCCAAAACCTTAGGCTGGAACTTCCCAAGACTAATGAATAAATCAGGATTTTTAGTGTTGTCCTGTGCTCCCTACAGCCAACGGAGGACCGACCCCTTCCACGCGAAGGTCTTTCAGGTGGTTTCGGATGGTTTGACAGGAGGAAGAGAGGCCAGAGTTCACCAGGCAGATGCAGGGCCAGGCTGTCTCAGGCTTCTACTCGTGTGCAGACCAGGGAAGTCATCTTGCTGTGACCACACAAGAGCAGACAGACAGGGATGATCATTCCCAGCTTGGTGTTATGACTAGACTTCATTTAGCCGATTGAATCTCTGCCAGCCTGTTCTGCCATGGAGGTGAGCATTCATGGGAGACGCAAGGCCTCCCCTTCCAGCCAGCTCCAAGTCTTCAGAGCCCCTGCACAACGAGACTGTATGGACTCTATCCGCACAACTCTTACGGTGCCGCTTCAACAGAGCAGGCAGACTGTCGACGTGTAAGTCGAGTGGCTCCCACCGAAGAGCCACACACACAGAGCAAGCCATGGTGGAACAGATCAGCAACCTCAACTCATAGGAGGTTGAGGCCAGCCTGGATTATGCAGCAAGACTCTGTCTCAAACCAACAAGAACCACACAGCATACACAGCCTACATGTTCACCACTTTCAAGACACAGGGCTTCACTAACATCTCTGCCACTGGTCTGGATATTCTTGAACCTCGTTCTCAGAGCTAAGATGGGGGAGGGGCACAATTTCTAGTGAAAGATGCCAGGAGGGGAATAGGAGGGAGCCCCTCTCGAAGCCCCCGCTGCTAGTCCTGTCAATATCTCAGGACTCCACACACAGCTGGTCCCTCTCCTCTGACTCTGATGTATAACTACAGAGACAAAAACCACATGGATGACCCTATCTCCCCACAGGTGTGTGTGTGGGGGGGGAGGGTCAGTGCTCATGACTAAGGAAGGAGAGCTTCCTTGGCCTGAGCGGGCTGACAGAGCTGGATGGCAGGACTGAAGACATCAAAGGCACTGAGGAGGGCATGGCCGAGGCCAGTGGCTAGAATGACTTGTGAGCATTACTAAATGCTTCCCAGGATGTACACGCAGCCTGTGTCATCATCAAGAAAGAGAACTGTCCGTCTTTGAAGCAATCTCCCTATTTGGAAGGTAGATAGCAAACAGAACTGTCCCTCCACAGTACGACTAGAGGGGTCAGCCTTCAGACACGGAATGAAACAAAAAGACCCCACGGAGTCCAGACCTGCCCAGGCCCTCCCCAACCCAAATGAATTGGAAGAAAACACAAATCCATCATTAGAATGAATACTAGGATCCCAGGATGTTCTGTCATCTGAACGCCTGCTTTATTGTACAAAAAGTTTCCAGTAACAGTAAATTAGTTTTTTAAAAAGGAACAAAAAAAAAGAAAGAAAGTCATTTTGGATAGAAGCTCTTCACTAATTGCTTTATTTAAGCATACAAGAGGAAAAAAAGTCTAACCTGACCAATTAGGTTGAAGGGTTTTATTACCTTTAAGAAGCCATTAGCTGAGATAAAACACTGCAAGCACTTGTGTCAAAACAAATAAATAATGCTCTCTCAATTAGCGGAGAAAGCGGTACATCCGTTAAATTAGAGACACACTGCTTCACACAGCCCGGCCCAGCCAGTACTCCCCACCCCCCAAGATGAACAGAAAGACAGACAGACAGACAGACAGCAACCGGGAGCTGGGAGCCTGGAATATATGCCGCCATTTCTCTCCCCTGCTCCACTAGACAGGAGTCACTCCAGGCCAGTTTGTGTCCAGGGCTGGGCCCCAGGGTGCCAGCAGTGAGCCCCCAAAGCGAGGTCTCTTCTCTGAGGACACTGCCCAGGTGCACGTGAGATTGGCTCAGGAGTCTGAGGATGGCCCTCCTTCTCTTCCTGAGGTGCCAAGCAAGGAGTGCCGTCTTCCCTGCCATCCTCAAATGCCACTGCCTCTTGTCCAAGGACAGGCTCTAAAGACAAACGCAGTAGTTTGAGGAACCCAACCAGTCCGTGCCGGGCCCTGGGCCAGACTGCGGGTCCCATCAGCTGGCCAGCACTACAGTGATGGAGACGGGAAGGTTCGCCGTCTCCACAGAGGGCCGGAGACAACGTCAGATCAAGCGCAGCAGGGGACTGTGGTGAGGTGGGGGAATAGACACAAACCGACGGTGACCCTGACTTCTCTCCGACGGCCACTGTTCGTCCAGGGTGAGTAAGACTCAACATTTTCCAAGGGTTTAGCCATAACCCTGAATGGCCTGTGAATCTCGAGGCGGCCCCTCGTATGACCAGGTCCACTCTTGGTAGCAGCTGACCCAACGGCCACCACCCGACCACTGCATTCAAGTCAGCGCTGGCTCTGAAGGGCCCCAGAGCCACATGACTCTAGGCACCCGGGGGAAGGCACCAACCCAGCCTCCCTTGCCTGTGACCAGGCCCCGAGGCTACTGAAACCACGGGGCAGGGACCACAGGGGCGGGCCTGCCTGGGGGACTTGTCTCCAGATTTTAGTGTGAATTCTGGAAGCCACAGCAGTCGGCTCTGGAGAGGCATTGTGTGCAGCTGGGCCAAAGAAAACATGACATGCTTAATAGGGCGGCCGCGCTCCTTCCGCACCTTGAAGATACAAACAATACACTCATCAAAATGTACACAGAAGACCACTAACACTGTACCGTGTCCATCCGCACAGGGCTAGCTGCGTTTTCAAGGCTGTACCACAGTCCGCCTCGCTCCAGTTACTGAAGGGGCCTCAAGCACCACGGGGGTGATGGGGAGGTATAAGGCCACGCCCCACTTGGGGATCTGACCCAGGCTCACACCAGCAAGGGCTTTTCCAGCCCTCGGGACAAGCCTGCATTCTGGGCATTACTAACTGATAACGGAAGAGCCAATAAATGAAAGCACGAGTACTCTGAAATGGAGTGCTGTTTGGTTAATAATTTGAGATTTTAGATGGATGACCCCCTCAAAGTGGCCTCGGTATAAATTCACAGTTCATTAAATGGAGACTGGTGTGAATGGGTCCTTATGTAGCTAGCACGTGGTAAGGATGGAGGCTGTGTGTGGGGCAGAGCACCCGCCTGGGTCTGGCAGTGCTGGGACACAGGCGGGCCAGGACATCAGCAGGCCTCCTTTCAGTGTGAGTCTGGCTCAAATCACCAACTTGTAAATTTAGGTGGTTTTGCTTAGTAACAACTCCTTTTGGTTTACAGTAGAAAATGCAGTGCAAAAATTTTAAATGAGGAACACTCTATTTACAATTAATTTAAACTTATGAAGCTGTTTTAACTGGACTATCTAAATGTGTTAATTAACATCAATGATGGTTTCTTATTTCTCACACTTTGTTACTCTGATCATTAACAGCAATGGAAAAGCTAAATTAAGTTATCAGGGAATGAATTGTATGTTTCTTAAAGGACTTCTAGGTTTGTTTTCAACAACAACAAAAAAAATAGAAGAGGAAGATTTGAAGAGGCATTTTTGCCTCTATGCATACATTTTTGGTACCAAACTTCTTAAAAACCAAATGGCTTAAAAAAATTTTCCCCAAAAATTGTTTTGACATGCTGCTCAGACAAGACTGCTTAAAAAAAAATAGCATATACACAAATAACCCCAAGCAGCCTCAGCAGCAGCGCCTGTAAACTTTAAACTCATTTCATTTTCTAAAGAAAAAAAAAAAAAAAAAATATATATATATATATATATATATATATATAAGTGATCACAGAACCGATCAATATCTCTTCTGCAGCAGTATCACCGTCCTTAACTCGACACTGATGGAAACATAGGCCCGCGCCTGCGCGTCAGGAGGCATCCTTAGGAAGGTGGGACCCGTCTTGGCCCGGCCCGGCCCGGCCCTGGCTGGGTGCACCCTGCCAGCAGCGCTGAGGGTGAGACCGCCAAGCCCCCACACCCGGGGAGTCCACGCCGCCTGCACAAGAGCCCAGCGCCACTAGCGAGACTTCACGCCGACCAGGACAACAATGAGGACAATGATGATGACAAACAATATTAAAATCACAAGCATCTTCCGGTTCTTCTTTTGGTACTGCTCTGCCTACAGAAAGAGGAGAAAACGCAGTCACTTTCCGAGAACCCCACGCCACCTCCGGTGTCCAGCACGAGGCACTGGCCTTCTGCAGGGACTGGCGTCTCTGCTGGGGCCAGGCCACACTACCAAAACACCAAGCCTCCCTCAGAGTGAACCATCGGCACCGCGCAGGGCTCCACCAGCGGCATGCTGGCCTCACTGCTGGGACAAAGCGAAGAGATGCCAAAGACCCAGGGGCACCTGCTCTCCCCACCCAGGCTTCTCAGGAAGAGCCCTGTGCCTGGGAACGAGTGTGCACCGCTTGAAGGAGGACAGCAGAGCTTCTGGGGGTTCCGGAGGAGGACGCCTGCTGGGAACATCAGCCTCGCCTGTCCTCTGACCCACCAGCCTTCTGACTGGTGACTCGGCTTCATCTCTATGCCCACCAGCCCAGAGCGGGAGGCCCCGCTTTACAGGGGAGTAGGCAGCAGCGGGAGCACCACAATGAGGAACATTCAGGGAGTACCTCTCAGTCCCCCTCAGAGGAGTGGTCTGCCCCAGGGTGCAGTTCCCTTCTGCAGGAGGAGCTCTGGGCACCATGGACCAACAGCAAGCAGCACCCTGAAACTGGCTCAAAATGATTCACGGTGTAAAAACTAAAGCAGAACTTCTAGTTCCCACTACATTTGTTCACTTCTGCAGAAGCCTTCTCATTTGTCTGTGTTTCATGCAAAACATATTTCACTAGGTTTTATTTAAGAACCTACAAACCAATGCATAACTCAGCTATATATCAAATCTGGTTATTGCAAAGTGAGACACGCAAGTTAGTTAACACTGTTGGTACCCAGGGCTTGGCAATCAAGTTAATCTAAGTACTCAAGCTGTCTCTGCACATTAAGCAAGACTTCCCCATAAGAGCGGGGCTTGTTCCCACTGCAGGAGCTGCACAGGGAAGACAACCAAGGATTTCTGCTCAGACCTGCCAGGCTGGACACTAACCCTGACACTATTACCTGGCACAATCTCTGCTAAGAACACAGCTAGTTTCAGACACCTTAGTGAACTGGGGAAATGCTCATTAGAACCCTAGAAATACAATGGGAATCAACCACACAGGGAAGTAGTCAGTTTATCTATGAAGAATCATTACATTGTCTTGAAGGAAATATGTACCCAATATTGTACCCAATACAATAAACTTGTAAGTTTATGAATGTTTCTCCCAATTACAACATTTCAAAGATGATTTTAAAAAAAAAATCAGAAATAGAAAGCACCTTGAAATGGGAACCCCATTACAACAAGGGATAGCACTAACCACTACTTACCTCATTAACACTAGAGATGGCTAACTACCACTCAATTCACCAATAGAATTGAAAACACGGACCAGGAATCTATATTAACAAGGCAATACTACCACTCACTAATTAACATGAGAGAAAGCAGGAACTACCACTAACTTCATTAACCCTAGAAAGAACACTTATGATCTCTTCTGTAACACTACCACTCACTTCATTAATGAGAGAACACTAAACTACTCACACCATTAACACACAGTGTCATAACTACTACTAACTTCATTAACAAGAGAACACTACTCAGTTGATTAACATGAGAAAGAACACTACCACTGACTTCAAAAACCAGAGAGAGAGAATGCTGCTCAGGAGAGAACCGGAGCCACATCACTCACTTCATTCATACAAGAGAGCACCTACAGACCTTTGCTCTGGAGGTGAGGCAGATCTGCAGTTAGAGAGAAATCTAGAAGGCTCCTCCTCAGGAAGGACCCGAGTCAGCAATTCATGTTTCTTCTAAACTCCAACTGACCCCCAATAAGAAGAGACAAAAAGAATGAAGAAGGCATAGAGGGTGACCCACAGCACATGGGCATCGAGCTACACCTCACTGGCTATACCCCGACTGCAACGAATGCTGCATAGAGAGCTGAGTCGGCTCCAGTGCTAAGACAAGTATGAAGAGAACCCTCGGAATTCTTGTGATTTGATACCTGTTTCTAACATTCTCAACCGCGGACAGACGCCGTTACCTTGTGAAGCTGTTTCAAGCCATCTTCAGTTTTAACACAGGACTGTTCAACGTTATAGTCGATTCGATCAAGGACTGTACCCTGAGCGACAAACAAGAGTTACAGATGATCAACACCTGTGCTGGGGAGCATGGGTGCCGGCCTCACCCTCCTCCGGCTGACCCGAACACTGTGCCCTGCAGGGATGCAGAGCCCGGGAGAGGCCAACACTGGCAAACTGAGCTTTCATTTTTGGACTTACCCTCTATGGGATCTGCTCTATTCAAACCTACTGGGGCTTAAAAAAATACGTGGTTCAGCAGGGCGCCGGTGGCTCACACCTGTAATCCTAGCTCTTCAGGAGGCTGAGATCTGAGGATTGCTTGGCTCAAAGCCAGCCCAGGCAGGAAAGTCCGTGAGACTTTTATCTCCAATAAACCACTCAGAAAACTGGAAGTGGCGCTGTGGCTCAAGTGATAGAGAGAGCTATCTAGCCTTGAGCTGAAGAGCTGAGGGACAGCGCCCAGGCCCAGAGTTCAAGCCCCATGACCAACAAAAAAAAAAGAAAAGAAAAAAAAATACATGGTTCAGTGGAAACAGGTTGTGTGCAGCAAAGGGCCAGCATCAGTGCCCACTCCCTGCTTAAATACTTGGAAGAGGAAAACGATGATCAGGTCCGCAAACTATTAAGGCTGCCAATGGAAGCATGGTGCTCCATGGGTAGGGAGAGAGCCCGGGGACATCCAATCCATCTAAAATGAAAAGGCTGGGGTCTTGTGAAGAAATGTCCAATTGTTTAATTTCCTAGTTCCAGTGGGAAGATGGAAGCACTGGGCTTCAGGGAGGACAGGCTCTCAGTGAAACATGGCAGCCTAGGAGAGGCAGAGTTCATTGGAGCTCACAACCAACACTCCATCCTGCAGCTGGTTTCAAGGAGACCAGGTCCCAAGCCCCTCAGGCAAGAAAATAACATGCTCTAATCAGATTCTAACAGTGGATAACAATTTAATTCTACTAGAAAGCTAGTAGTTTCAATTGCCATTACACAATAAGCTGCCAAAATGAGAAAGGAGATCTTCAGTATGGCCAGACTCAGTGCTGGGGTTGGTGAAAATCAGCCAGGCCTCCAGAGTGTTCACACAAGCTCTTCGAGGCAGGACAGAGATGCTCAGACCCTCTTCTCTTTTTTTAATCTTGAGAAAAGGCTTATTCATATTTTATGGGAAATGTTAATAACCTAAGTAGATGATCTGAACACACACACACATACACGTGTCTGCATCTGTACAGACACAAACATACACTCATGAGGACTACAAGATCAAAGAACCTTGGACTCGGAGGACCCCCTGCGTACCTGCTCTACAATCATGGCTCCTAAGTCCCTAAAGATCTCATTCAGGTCAGAAATGGACTGCACGATCTGGCGGATCTCCCGCTCCCGCTCCTCCACCATCAGAGTGTTCTGTTCCACCAGTACCAGCTGGTCCTCTGTGAAGCCCTGGCAAGACAGTAGTGCAGAGCACTGTCAGGACGCTCAGGCCACTGGAGGCCATTTGGAGAACGGGGCTTCTGAAACGCGGATGGTAATAAGCACATATTTTTCCTGACAGGAAAGGCCCCAATTTCCCAAAGCAGTGGTTTGTGCAGCACCGCAGCCCAAGCAAGGGTGCTGAGCTTAGCCCTTGTCTGAAGCCATGCAAGGGTTCAGGGATGGCTCTGCGCTCCTCGGGGTTCTTCCCACCAAAGTGGGACAGGCCCTGCTTCCCCAAGGCCTCTCTGTGGCTTTGGAAAAGAAGAAACAGTATGGCTGCCCTCTGCCTGTCGCAAAGACTACTGGCTGGACAGGCAGCAGTGTGCTCCGCAGGAGTCGAGGTCTGGGGAGAGGGAAGCAGAACGGAGTGCGAATACACCGACAGCAGCCGCGTTCGCAGCCCTTCACATACCCGGTCGTACAGAGTATTATCGCCTCCATCATCCATTAGTGGTACTGATGTATCAAAAAAATGCTGCGCTCTTTCCTCTCGGTTCTTCATGCCTATCATAGATAGGAATCCACTTTACTCCAGTATGGAGACCATCCTGGTTACTGTTCCACCATTAAAAAGGGAAGATCTAGAGTAAAACTCAACAGTCAAAGTGGAGGTCTCCCGAGCAGTTTAGAGACCTCATCTCCGGGGAAGGAGAGAGGAACGCGGCTAGACATGCAGCACTATGCGAGCCTGCGAGTTACTCAAGACCAAGTCACACTAACTGTACAATTCACTTGATGCCGAGACAAAATGACACAACCATCTGAGAATCTCTGCGACAGTTACAAAACATGTCCAAAAAGAGGAAAAAACCCGTGTTTCTCTCTAGGAGCATCTCTGGCAAGACTCCACAGGGCCCCAGTCGAAGTTTAAATCATAAAATTAAAACGCGAACGCAGCAGTCGTCAGGGGAGCCTGGGGTTGGGGAGCATCGGCTACGCGACCACAGGCGACCCCAGTCAGAGGGGAGGTTCTGCCCTGGACGGCCGCGGCGCCCCGGCGCCCATACCTGGCTGGTGACGTCTGGAAGCCACTGCGTGTGCTAAACGCGCTGGGGGCTTCCACGGGCTGGGCCCGGCTGGGTACCCCGCGGAGGGCTACTCGGAATGGGGCCCGGCCTCCTGGGCGAGGTGGGGTCTCCACTCACGTTTCAGGTAGCCCGACTGCGCGTGCCGAAAGCCGGTGGAGAGCTCCTGCAGCGCCTGCGCCAGCGAGGCCACCACGTTGCGCAGCAGCCGCTCCTCCTGTTCCGTGCGGGCCCGGCGGGCCCGGCTGGGCAGCGCCCGCACCGCGCGCTGGCACCTGTGGAAGAGCTGAGAGAAGGGCGGGCTCAGGGCGGGGGCGGGGCAGGGGCGTGGCCCACAGTGCACTGGCACCTGTGGAAGAGCTGAGGGGGCGGGGCAGGGGCGGGGCCCACACAGTGCACCTGCACCTATGGAAGAGTTGAGGGGGCGGGGCAGGGGCGGGGCCCACACAGTGCACTGGCACCTGTGGAAGAGCTGAGGGGGCGGGGCAAGGGCGTGGCCCACACAGTGCACCTGCACCTATGGAAGAGCTGAGGGGGCAGGGCAGGGGCGGGGCCCACAGTGCACTGGCACCTGTGGAAGAGCTGAGGGGGCGGGGCAAGGGCGTGGCCCACACAGTGCACCTGCATCTATGGAAGAGCTGAGGGGGCGGGGCAGGGGCGTGGCCCACACAGTGCACTGGCACCTGTGAAGAGCTGAGGAGGACGGGGCAGGCAGGGCAGACCCCAGCGGGCCCCCCCCCCCCAGCTCTCCTCCCCAGGGGTCCCTCCTCCCCGCTGCCGCTCCCACTGCTCAGATGGGACACCCAGCTTGCGCCTGGTTATGAGAACCCAGGAGACGCACGCAGCCTAACCGCTAACCGCAGGGTTATGAGCAAGAAAACCTCCTACGACACTAGGCTGCTTTTCAGTTATGAGCACTGTAACTGTCGGCACTACGTATGATGGAAGCTACGGTTAAAACCGGCTGAATAAATGCATCCCTATTCTGAACTTCATTCTAATCTGTTAGTAGCATCCGTCAATAACTGGACGAGCGATTCCCCACCCCTCTGAGAAAGGCGTCAGGCGCGCGCCCGAGCTGCGGGCCGGGCCGAGCTGCCGCGCCGGGGGCTCCGCCTGCACCCTCACCTGCGTGATCTCCTGCGTGGCTGCTGCGGGCCGCACCCTCACCTGCGTGATCTCCTGCGTGGCTATCTCGATGGCGCGCTCCTCGGCGCTGCTGTCATCCAGGGTGGGTCTGTTCAAATGCTTGTCGTGCAAACTGGCTAGCTCCTTCATCTTCTGCTTAATTCGCCCGACATCATATTGTATCTAGACAAATGAAGTCACCACAACTCCACTCACGCCTGGCATGTTTCAGTCGGCCTCCAAGAGACAATTAGCTACACTCAGAATACACAGGTAACCTGCCGGCTCACCCAGATGAACAACTGTGATTCCAATTACCAGGACAAACTCTTCGAGGTTGTACAGGGTTTACATTTCTATGACTCAGGTAGTGGCTACCAAGGATAAAACTCAACCCAGTCATTCAGCACCCCGTCACACACGCACGCACAAAAGCTTTCCCTGTTTAATGTAAAATGGATGGACCAAAGCCCCCATATAGCTTGGGACAAGCACAGCCAAGTTAGCTTCAATGGCAGACATCTTAAAATACACTGTTATTCCAGCTTAGTAACATTAGCCCTTGACCCACCTCATCCACTCCATCCACCCACTTGGGTGGGGAGCATTTTGTCACACCGATTGCTGCTTCTGGGTCTAAGCTGAGGCCTGATACCAGGGCCATTCGGTCATCAGCAAGCTGTAGGGAAAGACATGGACACAGTTTAGATACGGGTACTCTTCCTTCCTAAAAACAAAGAAATGTAGGAGTAAAGGCACTAGCCTGTATTGTTTGATTTGAAATTGTTTTCCTAGCTTTTCAGTCACCAGTTCTTAATTTCTTTGGCTATTCTTGTGAACATGAATTTGACTTAATCTGGCTACAGAAATACAATGAGAAAAATCAATGAGAGATCCTCAAAAGAAAAACTCTCAGTACTAGACTATGATAGAACACAGAAGGGACCTTGGTCATTAATGTGGTCAGATACTACAAATGATTAGGCTGTGAGTTGAGCCAACACAAAGCTCTATCAGTGAATTTCCATCTCCTAAGCTTATTTTGGGAATCGTTCCGATGCAGTTATCTTCATACAGGATCATAAACACTGCTCAAGTGTGTGGAAGGATGGTCGAGAGGTGAGCACTGGTGTCCTGACAGGACGCGGCAATCCCCACCACACCGGCTTCTCTCTGCTGTTCAATACACACAGACAACAGTTCTCCTTTTGAAATGGTGTTCATAGTCTTGCTTTTTAAACCTATAATATGGTGCCTTAGTAAGCCTTTAAGACTGGAAGGGAAATTTCAGGTTTGGCTTTTTGTTCCCCTGAAGGCAATAAACAGATGTGAAAGGATCTTGAGGTGCCCTCACGATCTCAGAATTTCTACGTGACAGCTTCAAAAGATCCAAATGATAACCAGAACATAATGGGAAATAGTCTATAAAACATCTTTATAGATAATACTCTGTAAATTGTCTAAACACTGTAGAACTGGATGAGGAATTTGTATTCCTTTTCTTTCCTCTTGTTTGAAATTTAAATTTGTTTTTCTGTGCTCTTGATATTTATTTGCTTACCAAATGATAAAGAACAAGACAAAATTTTCAAGTGTGTAACTGAAGCAGGGAAGCAGCGCACAAGGAGCAACGCAGATGAGGAGAGCTCTTCAAGGGGCAGACCCTATCATCTTGGACCCAAGGCTCATACTCAATTCCTCAGAGCCAACTGCTTGCTTCCCCTCCCCACTGGTTCTGTGGCCAGCTGCTCCAGAGTCCTCATCCTCTCAGAAACCTTGCACAATCACAGAAGGGACTAGGACTAGCCCCTGGCATGGCATGAGTGTGCCGGGAGACTGTGCTCCGCGCCACCTGCACACGCGCTGCCACTGCAAGTGGCGCCATTCCCACCCTTCACCTCGTGGCCTGTCTCCCTGACCCGAAGAGCTCTTGAAGTGGAACCTCTCTATCATATGCTGTTTGTTTTCAAGCGTTCACTAAGAGAAATGGTACATTCATTTCATTATTTCAATCCTTACAAAAATCAGGCAAGCTAAGAATTATTACTCACACTATAAACTTGGAAATTGAGACAGAAATGTTAAGTAGTTTGCCCAAGGCCATCAAGCTACTATGTGACAAAATAAAGCCTGAGCCAGCTGACTCCAAGAGCCCTTTCCGCCCTAAAGTTGCCCCTCACAGACACATAAACATAACTGCAATTTGTTAAGAAAATGAATTAGGACAACATAACAGATTGAAACAGAAGGAAATCCAGACCTTTGGTTTATCCCCCATCAACTGCACAGGAACTGTAGGAGACTCTATCAGTATATACCACCAGTACACACCACCAGTACAATGCCACCAGTGCACGCCACCAGTATATGCCATCAGTACACACTACCAGTACACGCCACCAATACACATCACCAGTACCCTCCATCAGTACACCTCAGACACTTTTTTTTTTTTTGGGGGGGGGTCAGTTGTGGGGCTTGAACTCTGGGCCTGGACACTGTCCCTCAGCTCTTCAGCTCAAGGTGAGCGCTCTATCACTTGAGCCACAGCACCACTTCTGGTTTTCTGGTGGTTCATTGGAGATAAGAGTCTCACGGCCTTTCCTGCCCAGGCTGGCTTTGAACCATGATCCTCATATCTCAGCCTCCTGAGTAGCTAGGATTACAGGCGTGAGCCACAGGCGCCTGGCACCTCAGCCACTCTGGCTGACCTGCGATGGTAAGAAGGAGCCCAGGGGCAGGACCTCCAAGGCACACACAACTCTGCATTGCACACTGATGAAGGCTGGGAACAAACCACCTGCCACTCAGCCCCTGTCAACAATTTGGCAGGTCCCAGACAGTCACCGCTGACTAGACAACTGGATCTTGCAGCTCCAGCCCTTCGTGCAAAGCAAAGCCTAAGATCAGCGAAGGGCCTCAATTCCACGGCACCAGCTGTAGCACCTCAGCTGCCACCTCCCACCATGCCACACGACTTCAACAGCCATCACTGCACTTAGTTTCCCAACTCATGACAGAACTGTACTGTTCTCTTGACAAACACACTTAAAAAGACACAGAAGGATGAGCTAAGTTTACCTGTGCCATCACTAGCCCACCTCGTCTGAAGCAAGACAAGAGCTAGCTGAAATGGGCTCAGTTCTTCAATTTTATTCTCTATTTTATAGATATGTTTCCCAAAACTCAGATGTAAACCAGAAACAGAGAATATACGCTCTTCAGGGTCCTAAGGCAGCCTGAAAAGGAGACCTCTCTCCAGAAGGGCCTGTGCCACCCATCAGCCGGCCACTGGCTTTCCCACGCCCAGCATCAGCTGGTGACAGAGAAAGAACAGCCGATGCTTTGGGACTAGTCACTTGTCCCTGAAAAATATGGTCTAAAACAATAGGTCAGTAGTGCATCATGACAAAATGTGGCTGCATGAAGAGGGTGCACACAGGGTACTCCTCCAAAAGGAAAAGTGTGTTGCGGAGGGAGGGACGAAGGCAGGGAAGGAGAGGAAAAACTAGAGGCCAATGTCACCCATGTGAAATGCGAACAAATATGGACATGAAAATACCGTGTATGCAAAATAACCTCATTTCACTCTCCAAACAGCACTGCCCACGTAAGCCGAGTATCCCTGCTTGCTGACCATCCAGCCGCATGTACTTTAAACATGCCTTCTACTCCACAGACCACGCCTGCCACATTTCTTTTCTTCCTTTCTTCTACCTTAACTTTAGGTTACCCTCTTCCAAAAATATGGCAGAAGTTGTTAAAGCTCTTCTGAGTAAGCCTGTACTTCTGAAATAAAAAGTCTATTCACATTTTTAAAAGAAGAAAATGTCAGAAAAGCTAAACTTTTGAGAATAGAGGATTTAAGAATTCTTATCTCCTTGATTTGTGGTTGTCTTCCAGGAACTCTGGGTGTACCGCCCTCACCCACAGTCATGTTCCCATGGGAACATAGAAACTTCTGGCAATGCTCAGAGCAGCCCTCTGACAGGCTTTCATGCTGGTTATCTTTTGCCCTTAATCCATGTTTGATGAGGATATTTGTCCTCTTAAAGAGTGCCAGACAGTATGGGCAAATTCTTGATCTATGGAACATGTACACAAACACTCTTTCTCTGACTCTCATATAAATCTTGCTGTTCCCAACGTACAGTCTTCCTACTCTTAGAAAACCCTGCCTTCACATGCAGGCTGATTTAGTGTGCTGTGGGATGAAGGAGCAGCAGAGCCTTGGTAGACACACTTGTCCCCAGCTGAAAAACTAAGCCAAGTTCAACCACGCTGCGTGAGAATGAGAAGAGCAGGGACAGGTCTGGACCATCGTCGCCACGGACAACTACAAGTCTGGAGAGGCCACAGCAGCTGCCCCACGCGGCTCCCCGTTGGGGGGGGGTCATGGGTAGGATCGGCTAGCTAAAAGCAATCTGAACCACCTGCCAGCCCCTGACTATCATGTGGTGGTCTATTTCCTTTGAAGCGGTGGGGTGATCCCTCCTTCCCCCCACAAACACTACCTTTTGGGGTCACAGATTCAGACTTGCAAACCGCTTCATATAGAGTGCCATGGAGTCTATGTCTCTGCTGGCTTTAAAAGACCCTGCTCTTTTGGAGCCTAAATGCTGCCAAAGTTCCGCCAGCAAATCAGTCCCCATCCACCACACTCCAGGGACCCTTCGCTGTACTGTGGGTCAGCCAGAGCTCTCCCAGTATCCAGGCCCAGTGCCCAGGCAGGGTGCTGGCAGGGAGGTTCCTCAATGGGGGCAGGAAACTGCCACCCAGACCTGGCCCTGGCACCTGCTCAATGAGTTTTTGCCCAAAGATGTGTTTGTAGACTGTTCCTAGCGACTCACAGTTAAGTGTATGTTCACCCTAAGAAAAGGTTTTGCAATGGAAAATGTCCTTCAGACCCCATTCTCCCAGGCCCACAACAGGGGGGCGCCCAGGCTTATAAGCTGCTGTCTAATCAGAATTTTTCTAAGCACACAGAAGTACTGATGTCAGAGCTTTTTTGTTTTTAATCTTGACCACTCCTCCCCCCCAAAAAAGAGGGTCCCGTAATGAACCTCACGTGTCAGGGAGGTCACTCTATGAAGCTCTTATAGATAGGACTCACTGTCAGAGGGCTAAAGTGCTCCGTTATTTATTTAACTGGGTTGCAGTGAGGAGATTTAAGTTGTGTGGGCCTTGTTGGTATTATCAACTAGTCAAAGCTTGTTCAATTTATAGAGTTAAATCTTTACCTACTTGTTAGGATCTGGCTGGTCTGGAAACCAGTGCTCCTGATCCCACCATACCATACAAGGGTACACATTAACACACACCACTCCTTCCCTTTAAAAAGTAAACCCTCAAGAAAAAGTGTCCTTATTGAGACAAACAGGAGAACAGTCTAATCTCACTATCCCTCAACTCATTTAGTAGAGCTGCTAAAATACAGTACCGAGGAAGTATATGCATTCCACCTCCCAGGTCAGATCTAGTAAGCAAGGAAAAGGCCAAGAGCATGCTACTAGCAGGAGCTGACACAGGCCCCAATGTCCAGAAAATCACCCAGAGCATGCCTGCTTCACCCTAGGCACGAGGCCTAAGGAAGGCGAGGAGCCCTGCGTCCAGTTCCACCTGGGGCTTCTAGCAGTCAGCTGCCTCCTCTACTCCACCTGAGCCCCACTCCTTGCTAAGACATTAAGGTGCCGTGGACAGACCCTACAGGCAGTGGCTCACTTTGTTGAGGCCCTCCCAGAAGTAGTAAATAATGCTTCTAATTCTCTTTCTAAATCATCAACTCAAATGGTGTGAAAGTTTTAAATCAGTAAACACATTATACCATAATCAAAACAAATGCTAAATATGCATAAGCTCTATTAGCATTTTACATATGACCAAAGGTGTCAGCAAAAACAGGTGTTGTATAAGCCAACGTTACCTAACATACCAAGATATCCAAAACACTGTACCTCATCCAGCTCCTGCAGACGCGTTGTTGCCAGCGGGCCCATCCAGGTAGGGAGAGCAGGAAGAAAAGCATGGGGCAGACAGACAAGGCACCATCAGGTAAGAAAACAGATGTTAAACAAGTGACTATAAAACAAATTGACTATAAAAGTAAATATCCACTAGCCAAGGCATTTACAAAATCCCCTCTGAGCTTCCTTTCAGAAAGAAAGAAAGAAAGAAAGAAAGAAAGAAAGAAAGAGAGAAAGAAAGAGAGAAAGAAAGAGAGAAAGAGAAAGGAAGAAAGAAAGAAAGGAAGAAAGAAAGCTCTATCAGTTTATGTTTTGATTTTCATTTACTGAAATTATTCTTGTGAATGAGGCTAGAAACAATAAATAGTTGTAAAAATGGAAACAAAACATTCTTGCTTTGGCTTCATTAAAATATACTGCTAATCTGCTTCACAAATATAAAACATCACATTCTAAATTTCCTTACAAAATTAGAATAAAAGTTAAAATATCATATTCTAAATTTCCTTAGGAAGAAAAAAGTGAAAATGCAATGTTTAGAATCCATGCATATTTTAGTACATAAATCACCTAGGCAAACCACAAAATTAAGAAACAACCACCAAGTTGTCTAGAGCTACATTCAGATATTAGAGTGAACATATATACATTAAACCCCACAGACATAGCTTTAACCCTGGTAATGGAGGGCTGAGAAAGCCATCTCTCTGAGAGACACACAGGTGGGAAAAGAAAAGAACTTATCATTTACCAGGCATGTATTGTTATTAATCTAGAAAGCATGGTTTACAAGGTGTTATTAAAGCAGGCCAGCAAGGCCAGACAAGACAAAAAGTGAGGAAAGAAACCTTCGCGGGGAAGGCAAGGGAGTGGTAGGCACCAGAGTAAGTTCCAATTTAAAACTAAAGATTCTTTCTTAGATCAACTTAGAATTCTATCTTCTGATCAGACAGTTACTAATGACAGATAATCTACACAACTAGGCCTTTTTTCCCCCACAGTATTGATCATGGAAATAATTAGTGGTGAATTTCAATAATCAACTGTGTTGATTTTTTTAATGTCTAGCAGTAAATTCAGAAAACAGAAAACATAACTTTATCTAAAAATTAATGGTGCAAATGAAGCTGGTCCATCAGAGTAAAATATCATTACACAATGATAGCAATAAATGAAATCAAACACTTTTTCATGCAAAACTTCTCTCGGGTAGCATTACAGAAAAAGCAGAAAACCCTCTTCACTCCTACAATGTGCCCAGAGCGCAAAGGAGAAATGAAGTTTGTACACACTGCTGCTGTGACAGGGCTTTGAGAAATAGTGGGAAAGAAGATAGTATCAATGAAGCTCCTATCTCAGTTCCTTTTTTACTTTAAAAAGGAAAAGTGTGTGTATTTTTTAAAAGTCAGGTACTTCCAGAAATGCTCCGATCAATGAAGCCAGATGCAAGGCAAAACCCCCAAGCGAGGCATGGAACCTGTTCCGTCCCCACCGGCTCCCTAGCACATCATCTCTGAATACTGTCATCACAATCCACAGGCAAAAAGCCTGTGTTGTTGGGTTATTAGCCTGGCACACACATCCCAACCTTTTGATTTCTACAATTATGAGATGATAAGAGGCAAAATTGCAATCATGAGATTCAGGAATAGGAGCAAACTTTTTTCTTACAAATAAGAAAACTGAGATTCAAAATGTGTGGATGCATTGCCTGAAGTTACAGAGCGTGCTGAAGGCTGGGCTGGGGACAGCTCCCAGTGACCAGGCCTCCTTCCATCCTACCCTTAGCCACTCTAATTTCATTAACAATTCAGGGAATTAGTTGGTAATAGGCAGCCTCCACACCACAGCACCAGGAATTAAATTTAGAAGACCATCTTTCCAAAAACACCCTCCTTTATCCCCCCCAAAAAAGAAAAGCTTTCAAAACCCCATCTGCCACGAAATTACCAGGAAATTTAGTCAAGACCTGAACTCAAACATTAAAACCTGTTGCTACACATCGTCACCTTCTAAATCTTTACAATGTCTAAATCTAGGGTTTGACCTGCCAATGGCATACAACCAACCAAGCTAACTCCAAGCAGCATGTGGAATTTGCAGTCTAAAGAACTTTCTACATAAAACTGAAAAATGAGTGGAAACCCATCTGTGTTTACTCAGGAAGTCTGGAAAAGTTGAGCAAAATGAGTTGAAAATACAGGTCTGTGCTATCGTGATATTTACCTCATTTCCATTACTGCCAAAATAAAAGTTTGCTTCACTTTTATCCAACAAAGTACCCTTATTCTCAAGCAAGCCTCCCTGCTCAGATGGAATCTTTACAAGTAGAAAAGCAAATAAATCTAAAGGGAAACATACAATGATTTCATACTTGGATTCTAAAGACCTGATTTTCCAACAGACTCAGCCTGGACTAGAACTGAGAACCTTTGATATGTATGTTAAAACTGTCATGGGGAGGTTGTAAAGCAAGATTCAGAAAGGATCTTTCCCACTCCAAAAAGTATTTAAACAGTAAATTCTTCCACTTTCCAGAATCTGCAGCCCAAGTTCTAGAAAACAGCCAGCACAGTGTAGCCCAGGAGTGGACAAAGGGTTCTGGTCTACGCCAGGTCTCCCCTCACTCGTGAGGTGGGGACCCTAGGCCCACCCCAATTCTTCCACTCCCTGCTTTCTTTATCTGTTTTGAGCACCTATTTGCTCAAAGACTAAAATCAAATCTCAGTCTGTTTTGAACAATTAATTTTATTTAATTAGGCACTGTGGGGAATACATCTAGTTACCTACGAAAGGGTTCGGCCCCGTGACAGGCACAGAGTAAGCTCAATACACTGTGGTCAAGACTGAACAAGGAACCCTGGAACCACAGTTAATCCTTAATTGTTTTTTTCCCTAAAGCACAGGTTTTATTAAAAAAAAAAAAAAGTGCTAGTTTCAAACTAATCTAAGACCAATTACCTCTAGCTTCCACATATAGATTATGCATTATTTGAAAGCAGAGTATGGATTAGCCAGTAAACACTAACAAAGTGCTCCAGCCCCTGTATTAGACTCATTCTAAGAATCAAAAGAAACACAAATCTATCAGTACCACACTGGATCAGAACAGCAACTCAACTTCTGCTTGCCATTCATTAATACTTCACACTTAAAAAAATTAAAAAAAAAAAAAAGATTATTTGACTTTATAAATCCTCTTCAGCTTCCTGAAATCAAACTGCTTGAATGGGGTACTGCCACAAAGCCAGCACCTGGCCGGGAAGATGGCAAAGTTGCTTCTGTCCAGTACTGGGGCAACTGGTAAGTATTCCTGCCAGTAATGCCGGACTAAAAGGCACCGTACTGTGGTTGACTTGGATTTCTTATTTTCAAATGAAAGCTGAGGCTGGGCACTCCGGTCAGTGCATATCAAAACAGAATTTGAAGAAACATCAGACATCACCAAACTCAAAATCCTCAATTTACAAATAAGACATAAGATGTCTAAAAAGATTAAGTCCTACACCGATTGGAACTTATCCTAAATTCCCTCACCAGCAGACAGATGTTCTTTCCTTAGTCACACTGCCCTCAGGGATAAATGTAGTGGCTCCCAAAACCACGGGCAAAACAGTGCCATGGAATTAGCAGTGCCTTCTGCTCCAAGTTTGACTAAAATCAAACTTCAGTCTGTTTTTAACAATTAATTTTGCTAGCATTAATATAACAAAAATCACAAATATGTAGAGCTTTGTTTACTTCTGGCTGTTGAGGTTTAAAAAGGATTCAGAAAAATTAGACATTATTCATAGAGAAGAAACTTAACTGTGCGTCTGAGCCGGGATTGCTGAGCCTAGAAAAAACTGGGTCATCAAGCCACAGCAAGAGGCTTCCTCTGCACGGACCCTCAGGAACAGAATAGGGACCAGGTCCCCAGAGGGCAGACATTGACCCCACTAGGATCAACACACAAAAGACTTGGTAGTAAAAGGTACGGAGTGCCCGCTGCAGGATCCCTCCTCTCGGGTCACACGGTGTCCAGCAAGGAAAACCTAAGGGCTGTCACAAACAGGGCCACTGGGTCAAATGACCTTTAGGTCCCCTCAGGCTGCGAGGTCTATTCGCTTGTTTCTTTGGCCTCGGCAGATACTTAAATTGCTGTTTTAAAATTCCCGGGTGGATTTACTAGTGCCGCCACAATCTGTGCCCATCCATGCGGGTACCTGCAATAACCCTACCACCAAACAACATCTAGTTTTTCTTCAAAGTAGTATTAAAAAAAAAAAAATACAGCCTTAATTTTTTTTTTTTAAAAAAAAAGATAAACCTTTAGGTGTGCTTTGCTTGAGACGCATGAGCCATACACCCTGGCACGGCAATTCACAATCAATTTCTGCAGCTTCTCCTCAAATAAAACATGAAAATACAAAGCTACAATTAAAAAAAAAATCTTCTATTTAGGTATTTATTTTTAATTTTGCATGAAATGACAAATATACCAAAATCAATTTCTATTGTTTTTCTTCTAATGAGGAACTTAAAATTTCTAGGAATAATTTTGTTAATTTTAAGTTAAATTCTTAGGTCTGTTCACCTCTTTTCAAAATACCCAAGTTTAAATATATATTTATAAATTGTCTCTTTTTAATTGTCTTATTTTACTATGTCAAATGTATTTAAGTTTTTATTTATAATTTTTCAAACCTCTAGAAAAATGTGTAAAATGACAGTGTCCCTGCACATATGAACAAAAATAGAAAAATGTGTAAAATGGTACAGATCTATTTACCAACTAGAATTAACATTATTTATGTTTTGTCTCATTTGCTTTCTCTTTTCTTAAGGAGTATTAAGACCCAAAACAGCTGTCTTGGCATTTCACGCTGAACAATTCAGTAGACATCTGTAATAAAATTACCAAATTTAATTATAATTAGTTTAATAACTGCCTAATACCACCTAATGGCTAGTCCATATTAAAATCTGACATATACTTGTGATTTGCTACATGACTTTAAAATTTACTAGACAGAAATAAGGTTTAAAATATTTTCTGGGCTAAATAAGCAGTAAGAAACATTATATGTTACTCAATATAGTTTTTTTTTTTTAATGTGTTAAATGTCTTCCAAAAAAAAAAAATTTACAGTACTTTGCTAATTCCAAGAGTTAAAAAACCATGCACTCATGTTAATATCTTGCCGTCGTCGATTCTGTGTGTACAGAAATAGTTTCTGTGATCACTTCTAAATAAACCAAAGATATTAAGCTCCACCACTAAACACTTCAGAAATATATAGCATACAATGTATTTTTTAATGTTCACAATTAAAATGTACAAATGTTTTATTTTTAAATTCTAACCTAGGAATCTATTTGTTATTTTGACTGTACAGTCTATTTTTTAGGCAGTCTGAATTGACTGCGAGGGTTTTCAGTCATCTGATTATTTTCAGTAAAGTGATTTCAAATGCATAGGCTAATATAAGCATGTAATGTTTTCAACAGTATGACATTTAAAAATATTTTTAATATTCTATCTTAGATATGTGTTTTAGTCAGATTTAGAAATCTACTTTCAAGAATCTGTGTGAATTAACTAAATATATATGAGCTAAATAGATCTGTACATTTCCTGATACATCTTCTTTATAAACTACAGTGATACATAATTTATAAATTTATAAATCTACTTTGTAAACTACAGTGATCCACTTAATTATCTCACATCTCATATACCTTATGTTTTTGTATAAATTGCCTGCTTTAGAAAACCATCTTAAAAATCAGTTTCAAGATGTGCTTTTGAAAGCCTCCCGTCTCCACCAGGTTTTAAAACTGTCTGAAATAATTTTCCCCTCAGGTTACCCAAAGGTTCAGAGGGTGCTGAGCCCTACACAATTAAAAATTTAAAACCAAACAGTATCTTTTTCAGTTAATTAAAACTGAGCCCCCAGATGCATTGGCGCGGGTTTTAGTTCTGTTTTTTTCCCCCCAAAGGTAGCATAAAATCCAGTCATTTAAGGAACGACTCGTTCTTATTTAACATAACTAAAGATTCACTGAGGATTTTATTCACTCAGTTTCTACTCTCTATTTCCTGGCTTATTTCAGGGCACACTTTTCAAAATTAGCGCTAGAATCTGCCCGGTTCCGGTTCCGTGTTAACAGACACCTTTCCATTTGTTTCTGTATTTAATACTTCTGTTTATAAATGTAAAAATTCTTCAAATTCTTATGCAAATAAAAACCCCAACACACTTCATTCATCCTCAGTTTCTTTGCTTCCAGGAGAGACTACATCTTTTTATTCCTAAAACTGCTCTCACCGCTTTAAATTGCTTTTCTGTAAGAAATATGGCCAAAGATATTTTCCACAGTGGCTTAAAAAAAGGAAAAACCGATCGGTGAGCATGTCTACTATGATCACAACACATGGCACGATTTTCCATTAGCACAGAGAAACACGATAAAGAAAAAAAAAAAATCAAATGGCCATGATGGTCCTTAAAAGATGAAACCATTGTGGGATTTCAAAACCAGTACATCTCAGGCATAATCCCCAAGAACCAGGTCCTAGGGTCGCCATCCATTCCCTGGAGCTCCAAAGCTTTCATTTAAAACCAGTCTGTCCACAGCAGGAAGCCCCCTACTACCAGTTTTCTAACTTCACTTTTCAATTAAAGACATTACAAAGCTAATGACATTGGCTCCCACATCTCACTGAATAGTAAACTGAGGCTCTAAAAGTTTGCCCCCACCAAAACCAAGCCAAACCCAGCAATCTTTCTGGGGCCTTGCTTTTAAAAAGAAAAAAATAAACAACAACAAAACAAAACAAAAAGCCCACAGCTCTACTGCTTGGATAAGTGTGAAGGTTCTAGTCAATAAAATCAAAAACCCATGTGCTATTTTGGAGGTTTAATTCTCACATGCGCATCATGGTTTTTTGTTTTTGTTTTTTTTTTTTAAGTTCGAAAGGAGGGAAAGCTTCATTTCCTGTCTGGGAAATGGAAAACAAGGGCCTAGCACCTTCCAGTGTCACAAACACTGAGCCCCAAAGAAAACCAGTGAAGCAATTATTCATAGGGAACATGGCTACACAGAGGATTGAAGTCATTAAACAAAAACGAGTGTGAAAACACACACACACACACATACACACACACACAAACACAACTCCTTCCTCTTTGGAGGTGGGAGTGGTTCACTTGGGAGGATTTGAGTCTGAGATCCTGCCACCTGGCCATCAGGACCAACGTGAGGCCCACTACTGGGAGGGGAGGGAAGCTTAAAACAAAACTAGACAAAAAGAAGGTTCTAGAAAGGCCCCGTGCTTCCAAATCCTAGTGTTAAGACATATGTAAAGTGAAGCAGGCCGTCGAGCTGTGACGACGCCAGAAGGAGGAGGCACTCGGAAGTGGGCAGACAGGGCCAGGCAGGGGTGGGGCTGTGGGGGGATTGGTAACTGTGTTCCCCAACCAGGCTTATGGGTTGCCCCTTGACCCCAGAAAAGGGATCTCGCACTTCTCTATTTGTCTTATTACTCTTATCTTCTTTTTTCTTCTTTTCTTTTCAAACAGAGAGACAGACAGACAGACAGACAGGCAGAGCCGCAGTGCACACCGTGCGTGTGTCGACGAGGGTCAGGAGACTCACCGCGGCAAGGCTACGTGAATGCAGAGGGCTGGAGGTGGTGTGACTACTCACTTGCTCGGCTAACAGCTGCCGGTTTTGGATGGAATTATTCCGCAACAACAAGAAAGCGTCGGTTAAACGCCTGGTGGCCATGTCTCAACCTGTGTGACCCCCCTCTTAGGGTCCCCCCCCGCTTAGATTCCTGCTGTATTCACTTTCTTTCTTAGTCTGGCCTAGCTGGTCCCCCCTTTCACAGATGCCTCTCTCGACGAGGCCCCAGGCCTCAAAACCCAACAGGCGCAGCTTTGCGCTCCTCCAAAGCGCAAAGACCCCTCCCCAAATAACCACCTAGGCTTTCCAATTGTCTGAGTCCCCCTACCCAAGACCTGATTTCGATCTCTAAGCGCTTAATCCCCCAATCCAGGCGTGGCAATCCGCCGTCCCAGAGACCCCTCCCCAATCCAACCTCGGATCTACAAGCGTTTAAGGCGCCAATCGCCGGTCAGGAGCTGGGAGCGCCTGAAGCCCCCTGCCCTTCTTAAACCCTGAGACCCCCTAAAGGTCTTGGCCCCTAGCCCTAACGTGGCTGTGGGCGTGTGGGCCGGGCCCTGGTGGCTGGCTCGCGGTCACTTTCCCTACTCCAGTTGAGCTTCGGACAAGTGCACCAGGCCGGGCCGGGCCGGCCGGCGCCTGCAGCTCCCGGGCTCAGGGGCTGAGCCTGTGAAGCTCGGCCCGACCTCCTGACCCCTTTCTTTCCTGAGTGGCCTGGTCCTCCACTGGCGGCGGGCCGCCGCCTCCTGGGGGGGGGGGGGGGGGTCGGCGAGGCCCGCCGGCCTCCTCACTCCTCGGCTCCGGCTCCCTCCATCCCCGGATCTGAGGGCAGCCCAGCCCCGGGCCGTTTCCGCGCTGAGGTCCCGGGTTCTGGCGTTCCCCCCTGGCCCTCTTCCTGTCCGTCCCTCGCGGGTGCCCCCCTGCGACGCGCCTAGGCTTTGCGTGCAACGTTCCGGGCGCGGGTGCTCCCTGCCCCGGCCCCGGCCCCGGCCCCTGTCCCGGAGCGGGAGCGCCCCGCCCTCTCTCGGGGCGTTCTCGGGGCGCCCCGTTTCCTTTTCCCTGAGTTAGTTCAGGCTTTGGGCCAAGCAGGCCGAGCGATCCGAGCCTCGAGGCTCGCGCGTGGCCCCCACGCTGCCAGGGGCCCGGGCGCGCGTCAGGTGGCAGGTGGGCGGGAAGCTGGCTCGAGGCCGGGCCGGGCCGGGCCGGGCGGGGGCGGCGGCGGCGGCGGGGACGCGGGCGGCGGCGGCGAGGGCGCCTCTGCAGGCCGCGCACGCTCCACTGCAGGCACCGCGCGCTTTTTTTTCTCTCTCTCTCTTCAGAATTTGAAAAAAAATGTACCCGAAAAACAACCGCGGGGAGGGGGGCAGCGCGCTCTCCGGGCCGCAGCCCGCGCCCTCGGCACTGCAGGGCTCTGCGTCTCAAGTAGCAAAGTTCCCTGAGAACTTGACACCCCAGATCCCACCCCCCTAAAAGAGCTGGGTCTCCTGACCAAGCCCGCGCCCCCAAGATCTGGGCCCCGGCCCCGCACCGTCGAGCGGGTGATTGGAGAGGCGGGGAGGCCCCCGCCGCCCTGGGGTCTGCGTGGGGCCGGCTCGGCGCACACGTGCGGGCTCCGGGCCTGGCACCAGCCCCGCAGCCCCGCGCTGGCCTCCGTGGTGGAACTGGACACGCGTGTGAAACGTGTTCGTGGAAACCGCACGACGCGCGGGAGGGAGGGAGCCGAGGCCCGCGCCGTCGCGAGCGCGGGGACCACGGCGGAGGCCGGCCGCGGGACCGCCCTCGAAGGGAGTGGGGACGATGCCCCCCCCCCGACGGCCTCCCCCCCTCCCCCGCCTGGCTTGTGCGGATAAGGTCAAGGCCTCGCGGGGACCGCCGGCCACCGCAGCTCCGGGAGGGAGAAACCCGCGGCCGGCCGCCGCCGGTCCCCGGCAGAGGCAGACCCCCCCCCCCGATCACGTGGCCGAGCCCCCTCCTCTGCGCTCGCCCCGGGGAGCCGAGCTAGCGAATGACAGCCGGGCTGGCGCGGTGGAGCCGCGGGCCCCGGCCCGGCCCGCGCGGGCGCCGGGAGCCCTCCCGCCCTTGCCAGGCAGGGGCTTGTTTACATCTGGCTGGAACCTGATCCTCCTGCAGGGACGGCGTTTTAGTCATCTTTGTTCCGCGCTGCCATCTCATCGGGCTTGTCGCAGGCTCGGATAAATGCCTTTTAAATATGTGCCTGCATGAATGATTGAGAGACCTGAGGTTCAGTCCCCAAACCCTCTGACCTCTCTCCAGTGTCGCTTAAGCCTTTAAAGAACAACAACAAGTGCGGCTTTCATAATCCCCACAATCCATGCCCTGTCCCCCTCTCTGGGGTTCTTGTGAAGATCAAATCAGATCAGTGAAAGCACTTTGTAAACCATCAGGTGCTGAACAAATAGTATAGAGATGGTATTCACTCATCCCCTCCATTCGGGGAGCTTAACGGTAATTCCCATCACTTGGTGGTCACTCTTCTTGGTTTAGCCTTAAATGTTTATTGTGGGGACAGTCTCTGCCGTACATATAGGACATCAGTCAAGCTTGCGTTTCTTTGAGAGGAATGGACAGTGTTTGTCCACAGAAATAATGGAAGAAAATTCCTCCTGCTCTCCAAACAGCCACCCTAAAGCCATGTGAGAGCCCACGTGCAGGAAGATGGATGGTGAAGAAGCCATGGGAACAGCAAGCAATCAGAAGACTGCTTTATGCCCTGACCATGTCCAGGCGAGAGATTGGGAGTGTGAAATAGCATGAACTAAGGGAGGAAGACAGCCCTGGAGAGGTCACACACGCGGTGTGCAATCACATCCATATTTGCCCTGACCCACGCAGGAAGGGAGCTGGGGAAGGATGTAAATCATTGCATCTCAATCTTCCCTGGCTGTTTGATTTTCCTGTCAAGTGGCTTAAACTGGGGTTTTGTTTTGTTGTTGTTTTATTTTTTTAAAGCATTCCCTCATGGCCAAGTATGTGTTTCCTTTCCTTGGAATTGAAATCTAGGTTGATGGTTTTAGATTTTAAAAGCTCTCACCGTGACTCATTCTTGGCCTGGGAAGGAGCGCTGCAATGCTTTCTGTGCTTATGGAGCTGCAGTGTCCTGTTTCTTGGTTCTTGTCCCCACTTTTGAACATTTTGCCAATGTCTCCAAGAAGTCCCCCTTGGGGGACAAGTGCTTGTTTGCTTGTCACTGACCTGATCAATGCCAAAGGGAGCTGTCGCCACAGGCTTGTCTCTGAAGCCAGCCTTCGGCAGGGCAGGAAGAGGTCTTCGAGTGCCGACAAGCTGGTGGTGAGGTGAAAGGGTTTGTATGGGAGACGTGCAGCCTGTGGTGCGGAAGTTTCCATGAGAGAGGGCTGGTTTGGAATGCGCTCTCTCCTCGTGTAATAATACAGTATGATTTATAATTGCTGCAGCTCTGCTAGGGGAGAAAGCTCATGTGGGCTCCACGCTCCCTGGAAGGCATCACAGACTGCAAAGAAGAGAACGGGGTTGTGGGAACTGAACGCTCTCCAAGCACATTTTCCAGATTCCTGTTCAGTGGCTTGGGAATCCAGATGTGCCTGCCATGTGCTGTGTCTCGGAGAAGAGGGGCTTAACCAGTCTCGAATGGACACCTTGGAACTTGGGTCTCTTCGTGCCTGTAGAAAGCCAGATGCTCCTTCTTTTATCACAATGAGCAACAACAGCCCCCAAGTCTAAGAAATGTCTCATTTGCACAGATCTGACACACCAGGCAGATGTGGGAAACAGCAGCTCTGGGTCCATTCCATCTACCCACACCAGCCTGCAAACCCCAGAAAATGCCACCATGCTGCTGCTTGTCTTCAGCTCTGACACCTCTCTCCCCAGCAGAGACTCCAAAGAGGCATCCATTTTGTTTGGTCCCGACCCCCTCTGCCCTCCTTCCCCCCACCCCGTTCGCTTTTAATTCCAGACGATTCAACCCATCAGCGTTTCTAAAAGTGCATCAGTGCTGGCTGGGCCTCACCACCACACTGGGGATGCAGACGGTCCTGAACGCCTGCCCTCGGGGGGTTGCATCCCCACGCTCTCTGCCCAAATTCTCCTCTCATCATGAGTGACTTTTTTTTTTCTAATGGCCTCTTAACAACAGCACGTCTCTTCCCCTTCATCCATCCTCTACCCTGCAGCTGAGATGACCTTTCCAAAGCACAAATCTGATCATGTCACTGCCTGATGGAGGCCCTAGAACAGCTCCCTCTGGCCACGGCAGCCCATCTCAGACGACACACAGCAGAAAGCTAATATTAACTAATGACGCTCCTCTCTTGGTTGGCAGAAAAAATTAAGCTAATTGATGGACTAGTCTCCCTCTTAAGTGTTTCTCTCCTCTTTCTCTTAAACCATTGGTGCTGCTACCACATGGCTGGGTTAGAATACATCCGATTTATTCCGGGAGCACGCATTTCATCAGCTTTGCCTCCTTTATGTTTCCGTAGTGCTCTCGGCATGCCAGTCTTCTAGCTTCTCCCACTGAAGAGTGCCCTCAAGATGAACGGCTGCGGCTGCAATGCCTTTCCCAGTGGCACCGCTGCGCTGGCAAGACTTGGCTCACCTTGTTTGTTACTGTGAGGCAGACCCTTTCCCCTTCTGCTTGGGGAACTCCTCTTTCCAGATTCAGTATCTTCCCCCACTCCCACTGTCTGTTGGAGTCAATGTTTGTGGAATGGATGAATGGACTGATAACACAAAAAGATGAGCTTGAATGCATTAGGTCTCAGAGAAGCCCAGACACACGAGAGGCGTGAGACACTGAGTGGGCAGCAGGAACAGAGGGCAGGGTCCTCTGTCTGCCTCCAGCACGGTTCTTCCGCTGTACCGGCCTCGCCACCGCTCCCTGAGCCGCCTGGACACTGACTTCCCCCCTCCCTCGGGGGTCCTGGGAGGCCCCACTCCCTCCTATGACTTGGATCCATTCCTCTTTTGTCCACGTTGTGGGAAAGAAACTGTTCTCAGAGCCCCTCCTGGGTCACCCTCGAGATGCAAACAGTCTCTCACATCCTGGTTTTTGGTCTCTGAAGCCAAGAAAGGAGCTGTCTTTGGTAACGGCACGTGGCAGCAAAACATATCTGCGTCTCTATGGCGGGGGGGGGGGGGGGGGCGATGACGCTGCCACACGTGTTGTGAGATACATCAGCTCCTGTCTTCACCGCCACCCTTGGCAGGAACATGAAGTTGCTGTGCCAAGTCAGGGCTCACCACGGTGACTCACCCCTCGGCATATAAAGGAAATCATTGTGTGTTCACGCTAGCAGGTATTGGGCTGCAGCCAGCTCAGCCATTTCTAGTTGCTGTTTGTTCTTTGTGTCCCCCCCCCTCCCCAGGCCACCACTTCTGACCTGCTTGTTGACACACAGGTACAAGGCTGGGCCCTCGTCTTCTCCACATGTGACTGTCACCAGCAGGTGTTCCTCAGCCATGCGCCCCTGTGCAGTGCAGGGCTCCTCTTGGTGACACATGACGGAACTCGAGTCAAACTGGCGTAAGTGAAAAAGCAAATGCATTGGCTCGAGTAAAGAAAAGAAATCTTGGCAGGGCAGTGTCCAGGTTCCCAGGAACCTGTCTCCTTGCTTCCTTCCTCTGTTTCCTTCTCTGGCCATCTCTCCTCAGGAGTTTACTGATGGAGATCTGTAAGCTCTACCTCCTGTCCTACGGTGGCACCACCCCAACAGGAAGAGCATTCCCCTGCC